TGGTTCTTATCAGTTTTTTCACAGTAGTATTGTTAGTAGTAGTTGTTTGTTGTATAGTTTCCTTCTTATCTGATTGTATTTGTGATGGTTGACAAGTTTCGATACTTTCTTTCACAACAGGTTGTTGTGTTTTGTCCACATGTTGTTCTTCTATTTGAGTTTGGTTGACCTGTTGTGCTTCTCTTGTTTCTTCTTCTTTTAATTCTTTTGGTGTCACTTCATTGACAGGAGTTACTGGGCGTTCTTCCTTAACATCTTTTTCTTCTTGTTTTTCAATTTTGTCCACAACAATAGCTGCAACATATCCAGAAAAGACTTTCCCATTGTCTGAAATTTGTTCACAATTTTCATTCTCTTTCTCAATTGCTTGCACGTACCCTTCTATTTTATTTTTCAATTTTGAATATTCAGAATCATTTTTCATTTCTTCTTTCTGTTGATTATCTTCAATATCCTGTTCTTGTTCAGACGCTTTGTTGGTTGATTGATCATTTAAACTATCCATCTCTGCTTATTCAGTTTGAAAAAGTTTCAAAAAAAAGCAATCTTAAAATGTTTTGAACTATATTTGTTTCGTGTAAATATTATTTATATAATTTACAACCAGATTTTATTGAACGATTATTTTAATGGGCGAGTTATATTTCTTTTATCATTATTAAAAAACTCGTTAAATTTATTAGAAATGATATTATAATTAATCGAATTGATATCATTATTTTACTCGTTAAATTAATTAAATAATTTAATCGATCAACTCGTTAATAAAAATTTATTTTTATGTTATTTAAATAAAAATCATTTACCTTTCCTTAATTTCATTTGTATGTTATCTGGTTATTAAAAACAACCAATAAAATAAATAGTTGATTCATTCAAGTTTTATTTAAAAGGTTTTGAATTATTATATTTACTCATAATATGTCATAACTACTAATATTTTTTATATTACACAATTTCTGTGAAATTAGAATATTTTATTATAAAATATGCTTTAAAATAATTATTAACATGTTTTATCATTATGTTCATAATTGAGAATCAATGATGTTTTCATTGTTGTTTGATTTATTCAATATTTATTATGTTTTTTATACCAACAAACTATACTTCTAAATATGTTTTTAACTTATTAAACAATCTTTGTAATCTGTTTAATATACAAACTAATCAATTAGAATCATTTCATAATATGTTTCTGTTTTTATTTTGTGTTTTAAACATGTAATTTTGAATAAAGTAAATAAAAATAATCAAATCAATATGTATCATACATGTTATTTTGATGACTTGTAAACAAAACAAGAATATTCAAAAATTTGAATATTACAACAATTGTCATTAAAAAAATGATCATAATAAAAAAAGATAATAATAATCAACACATTTAACACAATAATTACTTTTTATAATTAAACATTTTGCAATATAAAATAATATTGTTTTGTGTTAAAGTTGTTTTGTACTCATATTAAATTTTTGTTTTTCACAATAATTGATTCACATATTTTTTTTATTTTATTGATACATTTTCTAATTTTACGTTTAACAATTACATTTCCGTTTGAATATAAACTTTTTTGTTAAATAACAAAACAAATATGTGAATTTGATTATCACCAATTTTTGAAATAACAAAAGTGTTATTACACACATTGAAACAAACATTTTTATTTGTTTTTTTTGTATAATGATACAAACAACAACCATCATAATTAAAAAATTCCAATTTTTATTTTTTTGCCACAAGTCTTCAAATAATATCATAATTGTTATGTAAGTTTGTGCACCAAAAGTATATTTCACAATTCCACATAGGGCGTAAATATTTTTTTTTGCAAATCAACCAACCATTTCTTATTTACAAACTTTATAATCAAGATTTTTCTCGTTTACACATATATTACAAAATTTTATTTAAAATGATATTAGATTAAACATATTTTTTGTTGCAAAATAAACACTCTTAAAACGTTTTGATTAAATAATTATGAATTTGACATTTTAAATATGACATTGTTCCACTAGTTACAAAATAAGAATCAAAACATATCGTATATTTATCAACATTCATTATTAAGTACTTAATCAAAATATCAATAACTGTGCAAAATGATTTTTTTAATTTAAATCCCAATGACGTTATCTTATTTTTTAAAAGTCATTCATACAAACTTTTATTGAATTACTTGATTTGTTGTATTTGTTTAAGCGTTTGTCAATTTATTTAAAAATCTTTTCTATTGTTATGAATATCCGACACTTAGTGCCGGGGTAAAAATATATTAATAAAAATACTATATATTTTAGTATATAATAATTAATCCAAAAATATAAAAAATTATAAATGAAAAATAGTTCTATTATATTAATTTAAAAACTAGAATTAACTATACATTTTTTTTCACAATTATAAAACACTCTGATTAGAATATTTAAAATCTAATATTATAACATTCTATAATATAACTAATAACTTATACCAAAATCAATTTTTATTCCCTAATGAGCTGATTTGTGTAATAACTCTCATAACGTTGTAAGTAACAAAGAATGAGACGAAGAACGCAAAGTATATGGTTTTAAGACTGATCTTGTCTCCTTTGGCCTTTTGTGTCTGTCGGTCGGTATTTTCGTCTTGTGGTTTTTCAAGGGTTGGCAATCCATTCTTTAAAACTTGACCGGCTTTTGTTTCACTTTCTTTGGGTGTATAGAGAGAAGTCTTGTCTTTGTAGTGTTTTTCGTTGCCTTTATTTTCCAAAGGGATTGGATTTGTTGGAGTCGACTTGATAAGAGGTTGAGTTTTTTCAACAGTAGTATTGTTAGTAGTAGTTGTTTGTTGTATAGTTTCCTTCTTATCTGATTGTATTTGTGATGGTTGACAAGTTTCGATACTTTCTTTCACAACAGGTTGTTGTGTTTTGTCCACATGTTGTTCTTCTATTTGAGTTTGGTTGACCTGTTGTGCTTCTCTTGTTTCTTCTTCTTTTAATTCTTTTGGTGTCACTTCATTGACAGGAGTTACTGGGCGTTCTTCCTTAACATCTTTTTCTTCTTGTTTTTCAATTTTGTCCACAACAATAGCTGCAACATATCCAGGAATGGCTTTCCCATTGTCTGAATTTTGTTCACAATTTTCATTCTCTTTATTAATTGCTTCCACGTATTGTACAATTTTATTTCTCATTTCGGGAGTTAATTTGTCTTCAGTGATTTCTTCTTTCTTTTTACCATCTTTATCTTTAGGTTCTTGTTCAGACGTTTGAGTGTATGAAATCTCGTTTAAACTATCCATCTCTGCTTATTCAGTTTTTTGGGGTTCTATCAGAAAAGAGAAAAATTTAGTCACTTTTTCGATCTTTTCGAATCAGCAATTTCGGTTTTTTTGTTAATCAAATTGTCAAAACAAAGTTAATTAACGAATTTAGAAATAATATGATTGAATTAATTAACGAGTCTTTTTTCTTCTATTATTAAACAGCTCGTTAATTATTTTATAATATCCACTATAATTTTTTAAAATAGAAATAATATAAACTCGTTAATTAATTGGAATAATGAATGATATCTACTCGTTAAATACAATCTTAAGTTTCATACAGGTTTCGTTTTTGAGATCTCCCTTTTCAAACGAAATTTGATGGAAAACACAACGTCGAAACAAGGAGATTTTTTAATCACGTGTCAACACAAACTTCCCAAAGAAGAGCGTTCAGATGGGAGTGGCGGAACGAAAGAGGTTCATGTAGTAATTAAGCAAAGTTCTTTTATAGTTGTCATTGTCTCCGAAACACACGTTCTTGAAGGGTGTACAGTGGACTGCACTCTTGTATATGACAACGTAGGTCTTACGGTTTGTATTTTTATAGTTTTTTATAATTAAATTTACTATAAATTTTACTACTCTTTGATGTTGCAGAGAAATAATGTTCAGGAGGTACACTATATTAACCAGAAACCAATCTCTTATACAGTGCAAATAACTTCAGCTAATACTATAACTTGTGACATCAGAATTCTGGTTCTTTCAAGTCAACACGAAGATATGTTATTTAAAGTTCTTTTTAAAATTACTTCAAAGACTGGCGAAGTGTTGGGCAATCTGTTCTCATTTCCTCTGCGCGTGATTTCTAAAGCGGATGGGAAAAAGAAGAATCTGTTTGTTTTTATATCAAGTCCAATTTTTAATAACATTTTAATAACATTTTTAATAACATTTTTAATAACATTTTTAATAACATTTTAATAACATTTTTAATAACATTTTTAATTCGTAGCACTAAACCACCTCGTCTCCCTCCAACTCATCGCCCCGAACAAAAGGCTAAGCCTTTGACTCAACCCCCTATACCCTCTGTACCTCTTCAACCAACTCAAATACAAAATCCACCACCAGTTCCTTTACCAATCAATCAACATAATACACATCAACAACCACAACAAACACAAGAGGGGTCTGCTGAACAAGAAGAGAACGACGACTCAATTTTAAATACGTTGCAATACCAACAACAGCTATTACGAGAGTTAACACAACAAACGAACTCGAATCCCCTCAGCATGCCACTTGTTGGGATGATCACGTCATATCAACAATTACCACAGAACCAGAGAATACCACAATTATTGAGAATCATCAGCTCACTGAACGCTCAAGAGACTGCACTAATGAGTGAATTGGTGTCTATGATAGTGTCGATTAACACTACTATACAGAACGATCCACAACAAAACATGGTGCAACCATTCCAACAATTCCCTCAACCAAACGCCGCATACCAAACGGAACAACAAGTTGGGAATAACCAGTTTAATCAAATGGGAGTTATGGGACAAACGAGTGGTAATGTCACGGTGACTAATATGCAAAATGTGAACAATGTGACAACACAACAAGTGGGGCAGAATTCACAAGGTGGACAACCAACACAAAACCAGAACAACTCCGTCGGTTCCCAATACCCCTCAAGCTCAACACCACAACCCACCTTTCAGACTAATACTACACCATACTCCCCACAAGTCAATTTCTCCGGTGGAGTCGATGGCTCGTTTTATCAAGACTCAAATAACAATTAACGTGTGAAGTACATCCTTGAACGACGTTGCACAACTTTAAGGTGTTTATGTGTTGCTTATTGACTGTTTTTTATGCTTTTGTGACACAAAATGATACAATATTTTGTGACATTAAATGATACAAAAACTAGTAACACAAAATACTACAGCAACTTATGGCACAACACGCAAAGAAGTTAAAATAAATTCAATAGAAAAGGAAAACTATTTGATCTATTTTTCATAATAATTTTTACTAAAAATAATAGTTTTATTATTACTTTGTGTTCATGAACGAAGTCACCACAAAGAACAAAATTAATCTTAGAAACACTTATCTCTGACGTTGTTGATGATTTCTAATGCCTGTTTTAACGCATCGAGGTTCTGTTTCACCACTTTTCGCTCGTTGACAAGAGCGGGGTTTTCTGCCAACAAATCTTGGAGGAGTGTTTCATTGTACAGTTTCTTGATCAGTTCCTTTTGCACGGAGTCTCGAGTCTTGAAGACCAAAAAGTGGATGATAGATTTTGGTACCAAATCCTTCATACTCTTCTTCACTATCAACAAATAGTCTCTGCACAGATTTCGGATCAACCCAATTTCTCTCATTTCTCTTTGATTGGTGTGGTCGACTCGAATCGACGACGTTTGTGCGACGGTTTGTTGTTGTTGCTTAGGGTTTGCAGATTGTTTCTGTTGTGGGGCGTTCGACAATTTGTTTGCAAAATGACTCTGCTTTTTGACTTCTCCTTGTCGTGGTTGTGCGGTCACTTCGACGTACACTTCTTGCTTTGAAGAATCCACCACAGCGTCTTCCGGTGTTTTCATCGCTTCGTCGGCTTCTTTTAAGACTTTTGTAGTATCGAAATCGGGGTGACTAGTATTCACGTAGTCCGCTTCAATCTATATATAAGTACATCTCCTTGTTCTTCAATGAATAACAAACGTCTATCAAGTCTTGTACCATTCGATGAGTTTGTGTCATGTACTCGTTCATGACTTCCGTCGTCGCCTGTATCAGTGCTTCTCTGAATCGGTCATACTTCTCGACATTCTCCTTCGCGGTTTTTGATACAATACTCTTTAACTCGGAGTAAACCGTATCGACGCATTGGTGGCAACTTCCCTCAAAATTTCTGACTTGTTTTGCTATCAAATTTTCAAAGGCCGTTTGCGGGACATATAAACATGGTCGTGTCCCACTCGCGTTTTTAATAGCAGTTAAGATGTCGATGTCCCTTATCCCAGCTAATATGTTCTGTCCATCGATATTTGGACTGAACTGACTCTCAAACACTGAAAATATCTTCGCGCCCCCAGCCAATTCGTGTGTTTTAAAATCGGTGTTATTCCCATTGAGCGCATTTGAAAACGCAGTTGAAAATTTCATGATTTGTTGTAACGAGACGGAGAGGACGTTGTCGTCGTCCGGTTTAATTTCGTCGTATCGATTTCTTGCCTTTTCGTACGCTTCATTGATTTGTTGTCGCAACCCAGGCAGACACTTTTGGATGTGTTGTAACAAGAGTAAATTGAGTCTGTTCACCATATACTCCGTCCCCATTCTGTCTGCTATAGAACAGTAGACGGGATGGTCCTCAAAGAACTTCTTTTCATTCTTTAATGATGTTTGTACATCCATTCCATTATTAATGTCTTGTTGTGACCTATTGACTACACCTATATATCCAAGTTTCAACGGATACACTCGTCCCATTAAGACATCCATTGAGTTCGTTCCTTTATCTTCCAAATCTAATTTAGTTAACACGCCGATTGTTCTCTCCCCATCGGGATCGACTTCTTTGGCGACATTCAATGCATCAGAATTGGCTATATCGACATTCCCAGCAGTCACCGCTAAGATCAGCGCATTCTCGGGAGCAGCATATTGATACACCATATCACGTAAATTCTTGACAATCTCATTGGACTGCCCAACTACTGTAACTTTGACTAAGCCCGGTAAATCAACTAAAGTCAAATCAACGACATTCGGCGACACTATTCTTAATCGAATTGGAGTGGGAGATACATTTCTCCCCGGACATGTCCTCTGAGTCTCCGCAGTGATCTCGTCTCGAATCGCATTGAAGTCAAAGTACTGCTTGTCGCCTTGATGTTCAAAGAGCCCATACTCTTTCGGGACATCTGTTCGGACACATTGGACTATAAGAGGTCGACGGGTCACTATGCCAGAACCTCGGGGAAGAAAGTCCTTCCCAACCACATGTTCTAATACAGATGATTTACCAGAAGATTGTGAACCTACAACAACTATTTGAGGAAGTGGAAGTGTGTTGGGTAGACCAGCTGCGGTGAAAACGTCTTGAAGACTATTAATGATGGGGATCAGTCGTTGCATCAGTTTTTGGGTCGAGTTTTGGAGATGGAACTTTTTATTGCAACAAGATTTGAAAATGAAAAGTGAAATGATTTGATGATTGGTTTTTGATGGTTTTAGTCGTAACGTTTATGTGGAAAAAGAAACGCAATTCTTTTTGAATTTGTCACTCATTTTTTTTGATGTTTTTGTAAACAAAAATCGATAATTTGGTTGTTATTTTCGACTTTTCTAAATTATTAATCAATTATTACAAATGATAACTATTATTTTATTATTTATGTAATTAATAAATACTAAATTGTTTAAATTCAATATTAAACTAAAAAATTAGAACGCCTATTAAATATTTTTTGATATTATTTTTTTTGTTTATTTTTTACAAACATCATTTTTCTTGTAACTATATAGTAATAGTAATTAAACCATTACAATATTTTTGTTATTTTTTTAAACAAAATATAAAAAAATTTTAATAATATAAAACTAATTTTTTTTTGATTATATATATAATATTATATTAGTAAATTTAATAATTACTTTTGCTTTAAATTTTTTAAACAAATTTTTTACTAAGAAATACCAATTAATAACTCTTTTTACAAATAAATTTGATAATAATAATATTTATTATTAATCAACTACCCACAACAAATAATTAAATAATTATAATTATTTCAATTAAACTAATTTATTAGTTAAATTATTATTATTTTATATTATATTTAAACTAGTATAAATATAACAATCAATAATATACTAATAATTGGAATTCATCCATTTTAACAAACGTACAGACAAACAATAAACCCTATTTTATAACTGAACAAAACTAAATCAACTTTCTAAATGGGTGTTCCCAAGTTTTTTAAATGGATATGTAACAAGTATTCAAACGCTTGTGTAAAACAAAAAAAGACCAGGGATCGGACAAAACGGATCATACCGATTTGGACAGCCCGAATTTGAATGGGTTTGAGATTGACAACTTTTACTTGGACATGAATGGATTGATCCACCCCTGTTTCCATCCACAAGACCGTCCAGCCCCAGATACGATAGATGACATGCTGATAATGCTGAAGAGGTATTTGGACTATATCATTGACATCGTTCGTCCAAGGAAACTTGTATATATGGCTGTCGATGGGGTAGCTCCACGCGCTAAAATGAACCAGCAAAGAGCAAGAAGATTTAAAGCAGCACGCGACAAAAAGTCTGCGATGGATTTTGAAGCGCAACAAGCGGCAGATGCTTTAGCCAAAGGAACGCCACTTCCTGCGTCCAAAAAGGAAATGGATTCGAATTGTATAACACCGGGAACCGTGTTTATGGATCGTGTAATTGAGACTTTAAAGGCGTATGTAAAAGAGCGGATTTCGACATCTGCCTATTGGAAGAAGTTAGTAGTGATAATCAGTGATTCTTCTGTGCCTGGGGAAGGTGAACACAAGATCATGGAATACATCAGAAAGCAGAAGGATCAACCAAATTACAATCCCAATTTAAATCATTGTATCTACGGACTTGACGCCGACTTAATCATGTTGACACTCGCTACACATGAAAGAAACTTTTTTGTGATTCGAGAGGATGTTTTGAATACAAAGTGTTACATCTGTGGAGGGGCTCATCCGGTCGCTTTTTGTCCTAAAAAGAATGAAATTAATCCGATGGATCCTATTAACAAACCTTTTGTCTTCGTTTCAATACTCGACGTTAGAAAGCTTATTTATTTACTTGGGATGGTCCCAGGGTACGACTTCGAACGAATTATCGACGACTTCATCTTTCTTTGTTTCTTTATTGGGAACGACTTCTTACCACACTCCCCTTCACTTGAAATCTATCACGAAGATATTTCACTCATAATGGAATTATATAAAGAATTCCTCTTAAAGAATGGGTATGTCACAGACGCGGGGAATCTCGATATGGCTGCTTTCAAGAACCTCCTTACCTTTTTGTCGAGAAATGAGTCTGGGCGTCTTATAGATGTCGCCAATAAGAAACGCATGGAGACAACTATTTCTTCCAACCACGTCTTTCGCAAACAGTTATCTGCTATTGCAGAGGCCAAAGCCAATAAACAAACGGAAGAGTTTGAGAAGTTGACCAAGGAATTTACTGAGTCCAAGTTGAAGTTTAATGAAATGATATTTGGAGGGGATGTAGAGTACGACAAACCGGGGTATGAGGAGAGATATTACAATTCTAAACTTCATATTGATATTGTGAAAGAGCCCAAGAAAGTCGAGGAATTAGTCCACGAATATGTTAAAGGCCTTGTTTGGGTATTGAAATACTATTATCAAGGGTGTAAAGGATGGGGTTGGTTCTTCCCTCATAACTACGCGCCATTTATCACTGATATGGCAAAGTACTTTGACTACACGTGGAATATCACTTTTGACTTTGAAGAGCCATCGACCCCAGTCGAACAACTGATGTCGGTCTTACCCCCATTCTCGAAGAAATGTGTACCGAAGTCGTGTCGAGCACTCTTAAACTCGGAAACCTCTCCTCTTAAAGAATTCTATCCCGAAACATTTCAAATTGACTTTGATGGATACGCAGTGGAATACTTGGGTGTTGTCTTACTCCCATTCATCGAACGACCAAAACTCTTGAAGTACTTGCGACCCATTGAAGACGCGTTTGTCGGAGATGATAAAGAGCGTAATAAGGCATCGGGGGTGGCTCATATCTACTTCTATAGGAACAACCCACTCTTTAAGAATATCGGACAGGCGTATACCAAAGACCCTATTAAACACTTGAACCACCTCAAAGACCTCGATAAACTTTACAAAGGGAAATTCTCGCTGGACAAGTTCGATGAGGACGAAGTGTTCCCACTGAGTTGCAATATGCACGAAATAGCAGGGACAGTGTTCCCAGTGAAAACTACTTATAACGACGTTATTGGCGACTGTGTGGTGTGTGGGTTTGAGAACCCAGAATACGACGAGAAGCATATCTTCATCCCAAGATACTTGGAAGGACAGAAATTGACTGTTCTTCCAATGCAGAAATCAAATAAATCTACGGAAAGGAACGCTAAAGAGTATATGGAACTTGTCGAAAAGTCTTATTGTGGAGAGATAAGTATGGACTATACCCCTAAAAAGAGAGAAGGTCCACAGCCAACTGTGAATTACGAAATGTTTTTGAAAGTCAGAAAAGATTCCAAGAAAAGACCCCTAGTCAATCCTTTTTTGCAAGAACATTTTGACTTGGAAAGGAAACACAAATTCGATTGAACTTTTTGATTGTTATGCAGTTACTATTTTTTTATAATTTCTTAAACTATTATTTTTAATTACTTTTCTTTACTATAAATATATATAGAGATAATTAAATATCAATCTAGTATTATTTACTTGTGATGACAATCTTTTGATATTTTATGATATTTTTTAATATCTTTTGATTCTCACTTTTTTGTATGATAACCAATGACAAATCGAAAAGGCGAAGTAGTATATAAATTCGGCCGTTTTAAGGGGACAACATTTTAAACAATATAAAATCGTGGGGGACGCGGAGATCTGAATTTTACCAAAATTCGGGATTAAAGAGTTCCAAAATTTAAAATCTTATTTTTTTA